AATTTTATGTTATATTATTGTTTTAACAAAAGTGGAGTGTGTTTTCAAAAGGGAATGTGATCTGGTATCAGCTTACCTGAGACCCCGCAAAGCCCACCTGAGAGTGACCCTGCAGAGCACACCATAGATACTGCACAGCCCATCTGAGAATCTCTATGGTGGGCTCTGCAGGGCCTCCGGTGGGCTGGTCGCCGGGGTCCCTTTCCCTGTACCTCCACCCAACTCCTCCTACCTGCTGCTGCTGGGGCCTGGCCTCCTCCTCCCCCTTCCCTGTCACCTCTGCCATGCCACCCCTGGTACAGCTGATACTCATGTAAGAGGCCCCCAGGCTGCCCGGACCCCTCACATGGGTACCGGCCGTAGCCCCCTGATGGCGGTGTTCTATCAAAGTTTGTGACTATGTTACAATGTGTGACCGGTGACGTGGTCACACATTTCAATGGAACAGCGGCCCTGTCTAATCATTTAATCAGAGAAATAGATTACAATAGGCAACATTACAGTGTAATGTTCCCCATTATAATCCACTTTTCTAATGAAATGAAATAACAGCACACAGCGTGCAGTTACACCCCTACCACCCCAGCCCCCGATCCTCATGCAGACTCACCTGCCAAGCCTCACAGCCAGCATCCCAGCCAGATGGTGTGCACTGCAGGGGGCGGGGCATGTGACACACACTTCTCCTCTCCCGTCGCCTGTTACTAGGGACGTGGCCGGGAGAGGAGGTGAGTCACAGGATCCGCCCCCTTGCTGAGAAGCCCGTCGGCAATGCAGGGCCCCGGGACTCTGCACTACTGCATATTCCACCAGGGGGGATGCCCAGCACCGGACCCCCCCACAGCCTCAGGCCCTGGCGGCAGTTCTGCCCCTGGACAGGGAGCCGCAGCAGAGGGATGGAAGAGCCACATGCGGCTCCACAGCCGCGGGTTGCTGACCCCTGGCTTAGGGGAACCAACACCAATTTATTTTCTCTAACTTTAGTTAAAAGAACAAGTCTTCATAGCTTATCCTGTAAAAACATAATATCAGCACTATGGACAAGTCACTTCCCAGATAGCAAGACATTGAGCTGCAAGTTTGAAAATGACTTGCTAAACTATTGCAGACTAGGCCAAGCTTCACAATTTTGTTGCACAATTACAGCAAGTCTGCATTGCAAGTCTCCAGACCAGCGCGCTTGCAGAGCTCTTGCTAAGACCTGCAGGACTCTTGCTGTAGACTTGCCAAGCAAATTTGCTACAAATTCAAAAAGTGTCAACTAGAACTTGTGCTGCCAGTGTTCTGCAAGTCTACAACTCGCCAGGAATATGTGCAGCAAGTTAACAAAATTACAATTTCACTCCGCCACAAGTTTGTAGCAAGTTATCCTTGCTATCTGGGTTATTATTCATTTAATAGCCAGTACTCACTGTAAGCTTAAGTGAAGCTAAACTAAGCCAAAGTGAGTTTGAACTTTAGGCCAGGCAGA